AAGAGTTCAGGATTGGGATATTCTGCTTAGATGCTGCATGGTTTAGAACAAGCAGCTGGCAAGCAACATCAATGTAGACAAACATAGCACCAATATTTTGAGTAAAACATTACACATTACTTTGATTTCCTGGGCTCACATTATAATCTGCTTTTGCCTGAGGAATGCTGACTTGGGAGCTAAACATTCCACTTGCCTCTTGTTTGTTGATCTGAATGACCACAAAATAGTCTTAAAGGAAACTAAGCTGGAACTTTGGAGGAAAACTGTAATTCAAGCAAAAGAGAAAGCCAACAATTTCTCAAAACTGTAATCCCATAATTAAAATAAGCATTTAGATAGCACAGCAAAACAGCATCAGGCAATATACAACTATAACTTTGTTATTTAAACAATGCACAACCCAAGCTTGCACCAGTGTTACATCAATATTCTAGCACTACACAGGACACCAGCCGTTCACATGGCTTGGCATCGCTCTAGGCAGGCCCCATTATCATTCCGTCCCCGCCTCATGCTCTCAGCCTTCCCAGCTTCTTCCAAGAACTGGCACAGTGCTTTAGTGCAGGACTTTCCCTATTTGAACAGGGAGTTGGAGGAAGGCCACATTCCCCTTTCTCCTGCAATCTTATGGGGTCAATGAACTTTGAGGAAAGCATGAACAAGAATTGTACTGGGACAAGATGTCCAATTAACAGGGATCTAGGGCACAGAGAAGAGCAGCAGTCACTAACACTCATCTTGTATTACAGTCTTTATCATGTAAAAAAAAAAAAAAAAAGCAGCCCCACAAGGCAAGTTTGAGCCTTGTCATTTTTTCCTCTTTCTCAAGTTACAAGAAATCATTTGTAGAATAGGCTAGTGAAGCATGCAGGCCGGCCACCAGAGGACTTGTGCTTGCCTGATATCCTTTTAGATTACTTCGATAAGGGAGAAAATTGGGGGTTTTTTTGCCCTACAGAATCATTGTCTACTGTTAAAGTTCCTTCGGAGCCACAATGCACAATTTTTAAATTGTAAAAGGATTGTTTCATACAACCATTAAACTGTGTGGTCAACATGCATGGCTTTGTGCATCAGTTTGGCAACCAACAGTATAAGGACAATTGCAAGCATTTAGGACACTTCAGGACTGAGGGACTAGTTTCAAAATGAATACCTGAGCAGAAGCATGAGGCATCTGAAGAATTTCTTTTTTTCAATATGAGATGAGCAAGAAAGAAGCAAATTTGAATAATCTCAGTCCAACATCTCCATAAATTCAAGAACAATTACTAGAGAACTCCAAATGTTCCACAAGACAGTAAGTACATCTGGAAGATGAAGCAAGCAGCAATTACTGTGAGAAAATGAGACACCAATCCATGAGGAAGAAAAAGCGCAACAAGTTGACATTCCATCTGAGCAGCGAGACAACACATTATTCACAACAAGAAACAAGCTGTATTAGATCAACTTTATTATGTTATCAAAGTTTGACAATAAAATATTTAAAATCTATTGAACACATTCATACACAAAAAGAGCATATAAAATGCTAGGTTTCAGAATATGTTCCGTACAAAATACTGTTCAGTGTAGAGCAGCAAAGTCATTGCCAAACATTCCCTGAATTTAAGAGGGCCTTGAACACACTGTGCTCCAAGAACTACCTTAATACCAAACATTCCTTCCTTTGGTCTGAAAGCCCTTTGCAATTATTGCTAGTTATTGAAGCCTTCTGTTTTTAAACAGAATCACATAGTGACTCTGAACCTCTTCAGAAGTATTACAATGACAGCTGAAAGCTGCTTCAGCATTTTCTATACATTTTGTAAAAAATAAGAAATACACTTGGTCCTCAAGACTACTTTTGGTTTATGAAAATATCCTGGAAGAATAAAACCAAGTAAAAATTATGGAAAGAGAGACATGATTGATGTGTGTTAGGTATAATGAAGATATGTCAGTAAACTCGAACATTTCAACTGTGCAGTGTGGCAAAGCACCTGAGTTACTCCTCTTGAAGTGCCACATTCTCCTCTAGTTAAAGATTTATTTCTTCACACCTCTCTCCCCACAAGAATCTAGAATGCTCAAGTGCACATGGCTCTAGCAGGCCTGTGTAACGGTAATGCTAAATACTCTTGCCTTGTAGAGGAACATGCCGTAGTGAGAGTAGCACACTGAGTGAAGTGGTTCAGTTTCAATGACTAGAATAACAGCTTACTTGCTACATTCACTTTTCAATGAAAAGTCCATCCTAATATGCAAGAAACTGAAAATGAAAGGGCTGAAGATGATTTGGTAGAAAAATCACAAGTTCTGGACATAAAACAACTACAGTCTCCAGAACCATCACATCCAATCACAATCTCACCAGAAGCACTGTGCTTGCTCTAACGCAGTACTTAGACCTCTGGTATGTACATTCTTCCACAACATACCTTTATAGTGAGAAACAACATAAAAAAAAAAAAAGGCCCTGAAGAACTTCCAGCTTAATTTTATCAGGTTAACTAACACAAGTTTCTATAAATAGACACACTCTAGGGCTTGTCTACTAAAGGAAAGCTGATTTACAAATCTTTAGATTAAAAGATACAGTCAACTGATCTCAAACACAGTACTAGGTTGCCAAAATTAGAAAAGATTTTTTTTTTCTTTTGGGGCACAAAAAGTAGTATTCAAAAAGTAAAGGGAAAAAGAATGAAAATAAAAAGAACATGTTTTGGAATAACGTATTTTGGAACTTCAAATCCCCGAAGACCCCGAAGCTAAACTCTTGGTATGAGACTGAAAGTACCACCAATTAATGGGTAAGGATCTAAGTGAAGGCAAGAAACATTCTCCAGATGAGGTTAAGAACTGTTTACCTGTGATGTTCTCTCATTTTTCAGCCCTTGATGCCCATTTTGGTAGCCTGCAATACAACCTCTATCTCCACTCATTCCCATGTTATTAACAGGCATTCTACTTCAGCAAGAAACAGATCATGACAAGCTGTTTTCCACAATTTCTTTCTGTTGTAAACCATTAACATAGCAATTTATTCAAAAATTGAGTCAGACCACAGGAAGAGCTTTATCACCTCTGAGCAGTCTTGGAACACAAGCCTGAAGCTTATCCAGCTGCCAACGCTGCATAAAATAGAACACTTGGATAAAGGACTTTTTTTGTGAGGTTTTGTTGTTGTTTGGGGCCTGGGTAGTGGTTCTTTCTTTTTTTCATTTCAACAATTCCCAATTACAAATGGCTTGGAGCAACTCAGGACTTACTCTGGAAAAGTCTAGGCAATGCTGCTGCTAAACTTTAGGTTCCTGGGCAACTGATAACAACACAAGTGTTCCATTTTATAAAAATCAGGAAAATGCATCCTCTCCCTCAACAGAAGTAATCGGGAAAATGCAGGGGGAAAATGAAGCTACATAAGGAAGTTAAAACCTAGGAAGATATCTAGCTTATCCATGACCCTAGTTCAAGTTGTTCTGGATTTACAAGTCATTTCCGAATTAAAACCTAAAGCCTTAAATCTACCTCCTGTGCCAAAACACTTGCATTCTACAGTAACAAGAGTTCAAGCCTGTCATTTCAACACATCTTACTGATACATTTAATGACAAACATTTTATGCATGCTACCAAAATAGTTTAAAACTTTACCCTTTAGACAACTTCAGTTTAAGTAATGAATCCTTAATAGTTCTGATGAGTTTCTGAAATTCTTAAAACATTTTTCTTGGAGGACCAAGCATTTTGAAAGCATTCAAAATTGTGTATTTAGAAAACTAAGTGCAGTCTAACTGGGTGACTGGTTTTAAAGCAAGCAAAAGAGAATCTTTGAGTGAAACTGTTTCTCCAACAGGACTACTGTAATCGAGGTTGTAAATATGATGGCCTTTAGGCTATCATTTTGTGGAGTTCAGAGTTGAATTTTTTTTTTAAACACTGAGTAAAACAATACTGTAGAAAGTTAACAGATTTTTTATATAAACATTTAAGGAACAGTGTATCCCAACTTCTTGAAACAGCAATTATTAAACTTATAATCCATGATAAGCAAATTTTGGTCTGAAAAGGTAAAGTTTCTTTTCAGGTGAATGCCATCTTGATTGAAACACTACTTAGTAACTGGCTCTGAGCCTAAGTATGACTAAGAACAAGGCTTATACTCCATACTGTAATATGTTGGCTTCCATTCCCCATTCCATTTCAGGAAGTTCACTTGTCTTTGAGTCCATTATCATTTCCACAAAGGAGATAATTTTTCACCCAGAAATGCAATTCTGCACTGTATGAGTTGTTTGCCAGTATTCAATTCAATGAGCTTTAATTTATGTGCTACTCCACACAGCTGTGGTTATTGCAAGCACCAACCACTACTTAGCTTCTCTCCTTCATTGATAAATAAACCACAAGGTAAAAATTCCTCAGACTCTAGATTGTACATAGGTTCTAGAAGTTGGTGAGCAATTTCTTCTTCTTTAGGAAAAAAAAAAGTACCCAATAAGAAACCTGAAGTAATTCACACATCTATCTCTTTTCCCCAAAAGCTGTAATAAAAGAAAGGCTGGATTATGACAAAAGGTAGTACAGTAAGACCTCTTCCCTATCTTCTCCAGTAGATATGCACATTTACAAACAAAGGTACTGGGAACTGTGGATCAGAATATGCAAGACCCTTTAAAAAGTTTACTGTGCTTCCTAAACTTTTAATATAATTCTCTTGTTTTATGGGCATCTGAAATTGCAATCCTTCCTAACCCTCCTACTCCAGACCCTGCAAAGACTGCACAAAGGAACTCATGATTCTATGCAGTATGTGCAAGGGGCTGCACAGTCTCTAAATGAAAGTCTGTATGAATATCGGACACAATACCAGAGGCACCAAAATGCATATTTGACCAAATTTGCAGAATGTGAAAGTACCAGGAAGCATCATAAACACAAATCAGAGACAAACAATCATTTAGGACACCAAACAACTTCTTGAACCTAGCCTTAAAAAAACCTCACAAAATAAATAATTCAAATATCTAAATATCAAGGGATTAAAAGGCATTTTCCCCATATTTAAGGGAAGGCATCACAGGTGAGGAAAACAACCGTCAACACAATGTATCACAAATCAAAAAGCAGCTTTTTCACATAGGAGATGGTCGTATCATTGGAGAGCATTTGAATATGCTCATTTCCTGAAAGCTCAAATATCACCACTTCCTGTTTTTGCATGTCCACCCACTTTCGACATTGCAAGGCACTCTGTAAGTTTACTGTACCATCCCCATCGCTGTAAAGAATCTTGGGTTCTTTGTCAGGAAAACTTTCATAATGGAAGGAATCAGGTGTTTCCACGCCAGTACCATAAAGACAGTGTATACGCACACCAGGTGGTATCATCTGGTAGACGAGGGGTTCAGTGTCTTGTCTCATGAGCCAGCCATCTTCAAAATTGATGTCCCTGTAGAATTTTTTGTAATCTTGAAGAGTGTAGTTAGCTGTAGGTGTGCTTACAAAGACCTTATCTGGAGGCCATGTGTAGTTGTAGGGGAGCATCCAGTTTGTGGAAACTGCTGACCTCTGCTGGTCTCTAACCTTGAGTGAACTGATAACAGGTATTCTGTTGTTGTCACCTTAAAAAAAAGTGGAATTTCATTATACACAAGGCAATGCATGAATCTCAACAAGCAGCAATTACTACCACTCACAGTAATAACATGAATAAAAAGATCATTCCCTTTGCTTACAGTGACAATTTGAGAAGTTTTTCCTCATTTATGATTGTCTCGATAATTAACTTCTGACAACTTACAAATTTACATACATGTTGATGAATGAATGACTCTCAAACCAAGAACAGTTTTGTCTTTCCAATACACTCCTTTTTAAAGGAGAAAATATATCCTATATTAGCCAAGTAAGAAATCAGCTTTTATTAGGCATTATTTATACCATTTGCAAGTTTTGTCTTAAATGCTCTTCTGGAAATGTGTTTTACAGTGATTCCAGTACCTAGATCACATTTTTGCTGACAGAACAGAAATACTACTACCCTTACACACATTTAAGAACTCACAAAGAGACTTCATAGGTTTAACAAAACTAAGTTTTGCACATTCAAAACAAGCAGAATAGCAGCGTTTCATTCAGGATAGCTATAAAAGTTACTAAATGGTTGATTTGCCATTTGGTATAGTGTTTTACCAGTTTATCCACTCCCTTCGTAACAAAACCTACCAGAACATGCCTACAATTCAAAGAAAATGGTACTCTTAGTTGTTACCTAAAAGATAACTTATTATAGAAAGAAACAGAAGCAAAGCGAGTATTACTGTCTCTGCTTATGCTATCAAAGAAAGAATGCTGCACTCAGTGACCAGCTCAGTCTCTACGCATAGTACTTCAGCAAAAGAAGAGTTAGAGCTTGTTAGCTTCAGGTGGGAGCCATGGAAAATCACCAATATCAGCATCTTGCCTTCCAGTCAGCATTTCAAGACAGCTAAAATACTTGTGTTGCTCAGAACACAGGTTTTCTCTAATGTAGCACTAATATTTTGTGGCAACTCTGGTAAACTTTGCCAGGGGAGAAGGGAGGGCAGACAAAACCTACAACTCTTGAAAAGCCTGCTGATGACTACTATACGTAGGAAACATTTTCAGCTGGCCAAGCTTTTCCAAGGCATTATGTTTTCTTAATATAATAAAAATCTAGAGAGCTACAGCAGATTACCAATAAATGTTTTAAATTATCCTATACCCAATAAAGCACAAAAATTGTTACATTTTACAAAGTTCAGACTTACTCTTATCACAGAACTAGTGTTTGACCAAAACATTTCAACTTTTTGTAGACATCTAGTCCATTATTTTCTTAGCAGTTTGTTCCAAAGATGGTTCAAACTAATATATGACTAAGTTTAATTTATATGTGTCTTTCTTCACTTTAACCATTGTTCTTGCATCTTTACGAAATTAAGATTGCTTACTAACTGTCAGATACACTGATTACTAGAAACTATTTAAAAAAAAAAAAAGCCCTGAGACAGATCTGAGTTTATTTTCATGGTGACTGTCTGATCAGACCTATTTTCTCTTGTCACAATGGCAAGCACACTTCAACTCTGTTGTCAACTAAACCTTGATTCAGATTTTCTATTATTAGATCCAGGTGGTTACAGTATGTAGTGATCCAAGTCAACCACACCATAAAAGTTGAAATACTGAAACCAAAACTATTCCTGAAATAGCATCAAAGTGTATTTTTCAATTCCATGAGGTGGCACTATTGCTTCAGCAAGGAGGCCTAAAGCACAGTCTTTAATGGCATCTTTAGGAGGACTACATGGAAACATGCAAGTGTAACTCTGAAACAGATAAAAAGGAAACGGAGCACAGCAAGAATCACAAAGGTCCTGAGAAATTTGTTTCATATTACAAATACTTAACTTTGCACACTCACCACTAAGCTACTGAATACTACTTGGCAGTTTTCAAAGCAAGCCAGAGTTCTGAAATGAACAATGAAGGGAATGTGTACACAGTTTATTTCCAGTAGAAAAATCAAACACAGCACTTGATTGTATTCCAGCCTTCTCTTACAGAGCTGCTCTGAAATGCTTATCAAATCCTTTATTTCTCTCTGAACTGCAGAAGTACTGTATAGCCAAGACCACACTTAATTCAGCAGGCACAACACTCACTGACATTATAGTGAACAAAATATTAGGTCTCAGGAAGACACCGCTAGCATCCCAAGCTCATACAAAAAACCAAAACCAAACCAATCCACCACAGTGAACTTTGTGTCTTTGCTTGCTATAGTAGGAAGAACATCTTCACGTTATTGGCACTGGAACTGTAATGATGTATTGAGCCTGAAAAGCACTTAAATAGTATCACAGAAGATCTAGAGAAAATAATTCCACCTGTGCACTGTTTACCATTTTGATAACACAACTGTGGGTTTGACATGAGGCTCCTAGCCATTACGATATTATAAACCAGAATGGGAGCAGAAAGAATGCATTCATTGCTTGCCTTGTCTTTCCTGCAGCAATGCAGTATTTTTCGTTAAAACAGCAATTCTTCTGCATACTAACACTCTGGTAATGTGAATTTTAGAAACTCTTTAATAGATGAATATAATTCAAGTGTTAATGCCTGATGGTGATGATTTACTACAGGTATTTGAGACAGAAGTAGCCTAAAAATTTGCATTCTGATATTATGTTCTGCGTATTTAACTTCACTACACCAGTCTTAAATTTCTGCTTTAAACCACAGAGTTTAGCACAACAGATATACTGATAAAAGATTACTACAGTTTAGAAGTTTAACTATTCATTATGCATTTGTATAGCTAGCCACTTTGGTTGAGATGCACTATAAAGGATAAACAAGATGCAAAGCACAAAAGTCTAATCCAACAGAAATCTGGAACCGGAATTTTATAATCACATGGAATTTTATGAAGGTGATAGCCACATTGCTCACCTCCTGCTATTTCTGTAGGATGCAAACTTGTCAGACAAAGCCTGTGGGAAATCAATTTTTATGGTGCCATTGCAACAGATTTAAGAATGTATAACTCAATACAAATATCCGGTTTAAGTTTTCTAATTAGTAACTGAGATGGGCATGCCTATTCTGAATCAAATGTCTTTGCCAATCAGAGTATTCTTTGATCTGTCCATGCATGGCTGGCACTTGCTATGTGTTCTGCATTTTGATGAAATCCAGTTTCTGATGTCAGCTTTGTTTAGGAAGAAGACAGTAATATCCAAAGCTAACAACTCAGAAACCAGCTAAAAAAACTAGCCAGAAACATCACGAAATGCCAAAGAATATGAAATAATTATGGTATCACATGATGGGGTGAGTGAACTTCTTCCATCAGTCATTTGCAGTTACTTAGTGAAACACATCATGCCTACATATCCACTATGCTAAACCTGAGATCTCAAAGATTCTCTTTCCTTGTCTGTAGAGTTACAGCTTTTTACAGGCATCTGTGCTGTGGGCACCACTTTACCACCAGGTCTGTAAGTTACCCTTAGCATTAACCTCAAGCAGCTGTGATATCTTTAATCAAATGAAACTACTGAATGCTCTGGAGTCCTTGTTAGCACTTCAAGACTGAACAGATCAGTCAGGGTGGAGGCAGAAGTGACAGAAATAGCAGACACCAGGCCAAACAGCAGATGACACAACAATCTGCTGAAAAGAGGTTAGGAGAGGTCAAGAGGGGATGCAGCTCCTAGTTAAGTAAAAAGTAAAGTTAAATTAAAAAAAAATCTGTCCATTCCTATGAACAAAAAGAATGACAGTCTGTTCACAGGGCTTGAAATATAAAGTTGCCTTCACTCATGAAAAAATTATTTTTAACTTCATAGTACCTTAAACTCTCATCCTCCAGTCTTACAGTTAACAGTCTAGTTAGTATCTTGCACTACTAACAAAATACATTGTGAATGCTCAAATTACCTACCTGAAGCCAACACACGGAGAGTTTTAGCCACTCCTCCCCACGGAGCGCCTAATGACACATAATCCTTTATGTACTTGTCTTTCCAATCTTGAGTCTGATGGTTGAGGAAGTAGAGGGTGTACATATTACCCATACTGTGGGCGATTAAGACAACAGGACTTCCATACTGCTCATACATCAACTCTATCATCTTGCGAAGGGCCACAAAATAGTCTCCATTCTCATCTAAAGTAAACATACATGGGTTACACAGTTATAATTATTGTGAATGCTGAACTTCAACACAATTCTTTAAAAGGTTATATTTAAGCTGTCTGTGGAATTAATAACGCAGAGGTTAGAAATTCCAGTGTTAAGCTGGCTAGGAGGGTGTTTTTGTCAGGATGCCTTTTGGTGGTGTGTTTTTTGTTATTGTTTCATTTTTAAACAAGTTTTAAGTGCAAGTTGTTTAAAGCAAAAAAAGAAACCTCACTACAGAGCTTTCATCTGGGTTCTGGAGTACCCAGGCCCACAAGAACTGTTCAAAATTAAGTTTTTAAGTATAATTCTACAGATGGGATTGGAGAAGAGAACCAAAACATTACTTGCTGGCTGGGAGAGCTGAGATTTTGTTCAAGTAACAATATGTTATTTACTTGGTGCCTTTCGCCAGTCATAAGGTGCTCCTCTTACATCTTCATCGCGTTTATAGCCCCAATCTACTAAACTCTGCACCAGCATATAAAAGTAACTGCCTGTAGACATCAGATGAGAGAGAAACAGAACAGTGAAAAGATTAGCATTAGAATCAGCTGTCAGACACTGTCACAAAACAAACTTAGCTCTGGAGGCATTATCTGATTCCATATACACAGACATCAAAACTGTAGTCTTAATCTTTGACAATCTAGAAAGCTGCATATTAAACAAAATGAGTTATGCTCACTGTCCCCCAAAAGAAAGACAATACCATCATTAAAACTTCGCACTAGTTGGCTGATCTATCAAACAAATGTGGCAGAAAAAATTGGTACACACAGAATGGATAAATTTTCCTAAGCAGAAGTGTGTCTTATTCTTGAACTGTAAAGAATACACCTCAGAAGTTACTACATTAGTCCTAGCTTTTGTTGATTGCAAATTAACTTCAGGTAGGGTATATAATACATTCACAAAGGTTGACCTGGACTTCACCAACATTTATTCTTGGAAACAAATGCTTACAGTGTACCCCAGGGTACAATTCTAGAAAATACCCCAAACTATTTTTCTATCAAGTAGTGGACTAAGACTTAAGTGACAAAGGGAAACACTTGCAGACTGGCTAATGTTATATATTAAAAGATGTTCCATATTACAAGCTTAGGCACATAGGATTTAAGTATTACTACAATTAAATGTATCTGTAACAGTTTGAAAAATTAAGTATCAAAACATCCTATTGAATAGCACAGTCAAATTTAAGTTTTGAGCAGAACCTCACTGGTTAGTCTTGAATGCTTATCATACAGTCACTGAAGCACACAGAAGCCATTTTAAATATGGCCCTGTTCTATTTATAAGAGTCATCTAGTGAAGATCATTAAGCACGTTCCTGCCCTCTTGAAGATTGCTCCCTAAAGAAAAAGGAATCCATGCCATGAAGCATGTGAAGCTCAGTGCATTACTGACTGTTAAGTCTTCAGCCACAACTAACAACAACTCACAAGAGCTTATCAGATTCAGTGTTTCCTGAAAGATGACTTCTGCAAAAACACTAAACAAAAACCTCCTGCAAACACATTAATGCAGAAATCTTTTGCAGCACAAATGTAATTATATAATTACTCTGTCACCAACAAAAGACAGGGAACTACAGAGCATAGTACTGTATCTCCCAAGCCCATCAATTTATTCCTAAAGCCAAAGAACATCTTACTCAGAACCAGGCTGAAATGAAGTGTGTTTATTTTGTTTTTGCTTGTCAAGCACCAGTCATAGAATTTTCTAATCAAGCCATCTCATCTTCCAGAAGTGTCTGTCTTCAAAGCGCCTACTCAAGTTTCATCCAGAGAACTTAAATTTAGCACAAGATTAAACAGCATGGAATATTCTTATCTTGATCTATCAGGCCAAGCAACAGGCAAAACAATGCAATGAAAACACTTAAAAGCAGAGTGAGCCATATGCTAGCCTACTAGAAAAAACACCCAAAAATCCAATTTTTCTACTTCTAAACAGAACTGTAATTTGAAGTCACTTTTCAGTAGCTTGTTGTATAAAGACATGTTAGAAAAATCCTACAAGTGACAAAGAGCACTTAAGACACAGCTTGTACATACCAACACTCCTTTTACTTGGGTCAAGGAATTCCAAGGAAAACGTCTGCCCAAAACCTGGGACTCTGATATCCACTCCATCTGGTGGTTCTGTAATCTTACTTGTTCGATTATATACCAGCCTGGGGGAAAGAAAGAAAGAAAAAAAGGAAAAAAGAAAAAAGAGAAAAGCATTAAACATGTCATATTACCACATGACAACTCTCAGCTACATTGGGTCTTACATTCCAAGTGCAGCAACAAGAACTTTAAGTGCTAGTACCCAGAAGGTGGGGGGGGAGCAGGGGGAGAGACAGACATGATAAGAGTACTCTAATGGCTAATAATGCAAACCATTATTTTAATTAGTTTAATGCTTTACATGCAGAATCTGAGACATCTTCTTTATAAAACTGAGTATACAGAATTGTGGCTGAACTTCCACTTTAGGATATAACCATTTCACTTTGCATCAAGCCACACAATGGAGAAAACTCGTCAAGAACATAAGAATGTAGCAGTACAAGATAAAATACCTGTAAAACCAGGTATCAGAAAAATTCTCCTAGATAAAAACAACTTATTTCTGTTTAACTAGAACACCCATACTAGCATAAGGGAGTACTTGATTTTTCTTGACTAATAACAATTGGTACCTCAGGAATCACAGAAGTACTGAGTGTTCTGTAGTATGAAGAATCAGGAACATGGGGTCAGGGTTGTTTTTTTTTTTTAATTATTATTGTTGGCATTTTGTTTATTTATTTTTAATACCATGTCAATACCATTGCCATTTCTGAATGCAAGTTTTCACCCTTAGATGGAATTTGAACTGATACTCAAGTCTTCATACACCAAACATCTCTCTAAACTGCAAGGCATATACCAAGACTTACAGCAGGGCTACAACTACACAACAACTCGGTACATTCACATGAAAGAGGACCATGCCAGTAAAATATTTTTAAATTGCACAAGCTAAATATTTATTTTCATAGAGATATTTATATGATTTCTATAGGAACATTAGTGAATCAGATTGAATTATGAAATAGCCTGGAAGGTTTAAATTAGGCAATTTTTTTTAAACCCAAATAATTCTGGAAAGAGACTTCCTAAGCCAATAGAAGTGTGTGATAAGTGCTCGAACCAACACTGGGTAACTCGTAGGAGATAAAGCAGAAGAAACTAAGAGAACCTCTACTTTTCATCCATGAGTAACAGCTACCTCAGATTCAGCAGAGCCACATCATTTCTCTCACTGGTCTTGAATTAGAAAAGAAAGCTTAAGGCAGCCATTCTGTACAAAGCATGTCAGTCTAAGGAAAGGAGATAACTGTGAAGAGCAACACTTCTGCTCCTACCTGATATTATCGATCCAGCAGTCAATGATGACAGGCAGAAGCAATTCTAAATTCAGCCACAGTGTAAAATAACTGTCTGTCTTCTTAGAGCAGAGATAGTGCACTACTGATGGCTTATCTAACTTGGCTTCCAACTGATTACCTAAGTCCCCCGGAACTGAAAGATATAAAAAGGAATGTACAATTTTACATTATAATACACACATCTTAATACTGTAGCCCTCATATGCAGTACCACCGCATCCAGAGATACCATTAAGTTTTATAACTGGATAAAAACAAATTACATAGGAACAAAGTACTGCAGGCATATTTTCCACTGAAAATATTTTTTCAAAAATCATTAGCTAGGGAACCACCACATAAAATAATTCTGGATCAAGAGTTCATAACTTCAAAGAACAGACTATATAGGAACAGGTCATGTTAGGCCACGGGTATGAAACAGATGTCTCAGATGTTTCAAAATTATCTGTGTTTTAAAGTACAAACTGAATCTTTCTGAAAGATTTTTTTCTTTAGAGCATTACAACTGCACGTGCATATCTTTCTGTTCTCTTTAAACTATCAATTTGACATAAAAAAAATGTGAAAAGTGAAAGCAGCTCCATTTATGTTTTTTT